AAGCCACCCGCGCCCCGCCATCTCCCGTGCTCGGCCGTCCGGCTGCGGGCCAGCGTCGGGCCGACGGGCGGACGAGCCTCGCTTCCCCGCGCCGAGGTCTAGCGTCACTCCCTGCTCTCCGCGCCGTCCTGGGTCACGTGCCCGAGAGGCCCCGGCTTCGCACGGCGGCGCGGTAGGGCCGAGGCTGGGATCGGCCCCTCACTGCTTCCCGAAGCCGCTGTCGAACCCTCTTGGTGTTGGTGTTGTGGTGGGGGAGGGAACCCAGAAGGAAGTACCCTAAGCCTTTGGAAATGGGGGACACCAGGGTCTGATCAGCAACCCGCTTCCCGAGGCGACTGGCTCCGAGATGGCCAGGGATGGGCTGGCAAGGTGCGGGCTAGAAATCCCGCTACTCCGCTGGCTGCACAGCAGAACGGCGGCGTCCTTTCCCTCCCCCTCTCCCCATAAGGAAAACCGTTTCATCGAATATATTGTTCTGACCTAAACACGTCCCTGCACAGTGTTCACAGGCGAGGGTGACTGTAGAAATTCCTCACGGAAGTGACGTCGTTTGGACACCCTTTTAGCTATGCAAGTTGCTTTGCTGCCATTTCCTCCTGGAAACAATATGGAAATCCTCAATAAAAGCCTGGAGTGACCAAAACTATTACCACTACGCTGTTTACATTTTTGTTTACAAAAAATAAACTTCAATAACACCAATTTTTCACTTTAAACACTCTGGTATTTTTAAGAGACAGGTGTCATGTTATTGGTAACTTAAGGGTTGTTAATGATATCAATTTTTAAAAGTTCATTTTACCTTAACATTACTTGGGTTTATTTTCCTTTATCAAAAGATCCATTTATTTAAACTCATTTTTTAAAAAAGTGAACTTCTCTCCAACACACCATACTGCAATGTTGGAAAAAATTCTCATCCCTGTTAGAAGGCACCTGAAAACCACTATGACTGCATACTTAGGCACATTACAATCACAAGGCAGTATTGCAAATGAATACTTTATTAAGCTGTGCATATTTGCAAGTATCTGAATTTGAATTTCAGTTAAAGATTTTTTTCTGAAGTGAGTTTTCAGACTGGTTATTATATTATATAATATATATGTAATATAAATTATATTCTTACAGGTTTTTAGAAGCTTACGTTAAATTAGGTTCATCTTCAAAGAAGTAGGCATGCCCTGATTGAGACTGCTTGGTGGCAATGAGCCTGTGGAGAAGAGACAGCATGCATCATCGGAGTAGGTAATGTTCACCCTGGATGTGATGGTTTTCAAATGTTCAATCTTTGCCCTCTGTTGCCAAAACTTCCTTCTCTGCGATGGATGTGCAAGTGTACAGAGTCTGATTCTGAAGCAGCCAAGACTCTACTGCAGATGACTGGAACCTAGGTTTTGGAAAACCTGGGTGGCCTGGGTTGCTTCCTGGATGCTGGTTGATCTACTGTTGGGTTCAGAGCCTCAGCCAACAAGAGCCACAAAGGCAAGCTCTGCAGGTGCTAGCAGAGGGTTGTGAGTTAGACCCCAAGCCAGGCAGGACATACAGGGACAGTGGAGCGTGAGACAGTCCCAACTGTAGAGTGACAGCCTGTCTTCCTGGGCTCAGGAGTGAGGAAATTCCACGGATCCACCTCTTCCACACAAAAGTCAATGAGCTGGTTTTTTAATTCGCTTTCATATGGAAACAAGTAACAGAAATTCAGTACAAAATGGATATCAAATTTAAATACACAGAAATCAAAAACTTTTTTAAGTTGAACACAACTCATGTGTCATATAAAATATATGCCAGAATTTCCTCAAAGTAAGCAAATTCACTGAAAACCTGTGCTGACTCACCACATGACATGGAAACAAGACGGGTGTCTTCCCTTTCTATTAGTCTTAATTGTAATACTACGCTAAACCTGGTTTGAGGTCAGGCAAAGTGATCGCCCAATAAATCCAGACTTACACATCTATGGCTGTCAATGCGCAACTCAAATCTATAAGATCATGTTTCTTAAACTAAGGGAAAATTTAAAAAAATACAACTCCACAGAGGCTTATCCATCTTTTTCTGGCTGTGGGCCTTGGGTGACTTTTTTTTTTTTTTTTTTTTTTTTTTGACTGTCCCTCAGGTGTTTCCAAGCCTCACTGGGGCCAGGAAGTTAATACAAGTTAGCCCTAACTTGTATTCTAAAGGAGACTCTGCTTGGGACAGGCCTGCAGACCTGGCTTCCCACTTTGACACAAACACCCACACATTCCTGCCACACTCCCAATGCCTGGGAGAGCAGCAGGTGTTCTCGATGAGCAAAGAAGTCCCCCATTATCCCAAGGGGAAACGCTAACGACAATCTATAAGGGGGAAGAATCCAGAAGCAGAGTAACCATCAGCTCCTAACTGGCTCTGGCTCTCCTCTCGACGCTTACAGGAACACAGTCCCTTTATTCTCAGTTCCTGACTCGCAGGGATCAGGTGCATGGAGCACAGGCAACGTGAAGGCTGACGGCATTGTGCAGACGGCGATGCCCTGTTTCCTGGAACAAGAGGTTCTCTCCTAACTCTGGAAACAAAAAGGAACTGGAGACTTCTGTGCAGGCACTGGCTGCGTCAGAACCTGTGGGCCGGGGATCCCGAAGGAAAAGCTTCCACTTCTTGCCAGGCCGGCTTAACAGAACTGAAAGTGGCCACACCTGAGGGGGCTGGGCGTGGGGCTCTTGGCGCTGCGTGTGGAGAGTACACCTATGGGTGTGCGGCAAGATGAGGAAAGGTCAGGGCCTGAGCGACCTCAAGTCAAAGGCTGTGAACTGTTCAGGTGGGATTACATCACTAAGGGCAGTGCCGGGCTGGGGGCAGGGGGAGGGGGGGCCTCTGTTGAGTCACAAAACCCTTTTCACTAGGCTTCAGAATTTCTCCTACGCACAGCTGGGGGCTCCGCCAGCCCCCCCTCCTCCCCCAGTCCTCCAGTGTCTCCTCTCTGTGTGAGAAGGGAGACCTCCAGCCCAGGAAGCCGACCTTCACTTCTACAGTAACGTCAGTAAACCATGTCTTCTGGAAGGGCCTCAGAGGGGTTCACAGGATGGCGTTTTCCGCTTGCTCAACACACCGCCCACCAATTTCCCCGGGACGCTGGCGTGGAAGCCGCCGAAGAGCAGGTGAAATAAGGAAACAGCCTTACCGCCAAGCAAACAAGGACGAGGCCAGCCTGTCCCTCCCGGCCCTGCTCCCCCCTCCCGCGGCTCCCACCAATAAGCCACCACAGTCCCCAGAAGACTCTGAGTTGGAGCGCTTAAACGGCTGCTTTTCAAGGAGGAACAAGGTCTGTTTCCGGATGTGGGGCCTCACATGCTCTGTTACTGTAACTTAATTTTGTCATGGCTTGTTTTCAGAGATTATTTGGAGTGAATTGTTTCTTTTGTTTACTATCCAACAAACGACCTCTGCTAATCTTGTATTTTATCTCCCTAACATATGGAAAAGCTATTTATTCTGGCCAATCACATAAAATGAAGAAAACCCCATTTTATGGAAAGGTATATATCACTAGTCTGTTGATCATTAAAGATATGATTACCAGTGAAAACCCTCTGAAGGTGGCACATTTATGCTTCCAGGAACAGATGGGGACACGCATTTTCCTTGCAAATACTTTTGAAATTGCTCTACTGGTAGCAGTATAAAAATGATATACAGATGCCAGGGCCGGCATGGCCAGGATGAGTGCGCCAGATTTACACAGTAAAGCCTTCACACGCGGGCTGTCAGTTTTGATTGATCTCTACTATACCTCAGGAACTTGTTGACTAGGTAGGGAAACAGTGCAAATAATTCACTGCAGCAAGTCAGATAATTCACACAACCAATCGGTCTGCTTCACTCTCTGGCTGTGACATACGAGCCTCCCCTCCAAAGATGCATCATTTTCTAGCTTGAGCAATATTCAATGTCAAGGAAGAAAAGGTATTAAAGCCACACAAAAGGAGCTGGACTATGGCAGGACAAGAAGTTGTTTTGGTAATGGGGGCCAGATCCTGCCCTACGCTAAGTCCTACCAGAGCGTTCAGGCCCAATTGTCATTATCATATTGATTAAAAAAGAAAAAAGTTCATCATAGTGCAATTTTAGGTTTAACGCCAACGGATCGAGAAAGAGCAAAGAATTATCCCACAAAAGCACAACATTCTTACCGCAGGGACGATTCCCTGTTCCAGTTCATTGATGGAGTTGATTAAGTTTAAATGAAGCAGACACTGGATAAAAGTAAGGGTATTGACCACTGGGCACCGCGATCCGTGCTTGAAAGGACCTGATACATGCAGAAAAGCAAGATTTGCTAAATGCTCTAATCTTCAATCAAATCTTACATCAATACAGACAAAGTTTGGTAATGAGAGATTCAATGAAGCATGCGGGAGAAAGAATTAATCCTCTTGGTCTAAACTGGCTTCAACTTTGAAGCTTGCTCCGAAGGAAAGACAGTTATCTAAATGCTAAATAAGAAACTTATTGTACTTTTCATGGCATGCTAATCTTTTGTCTATTTCATCTCTATTATGTGTATGCTCATAGATTGCAGTTGTCATGGTGATTATATCTAGCCACGCTCAGGGGACGGTGGTGAGAAGCCAGGCACGGAGGTGGAAAAGACCCCCACGCAATCCACAGTCCAAAAACAAAGTTTTGAAGGAAAAGAGAAGCAGATAGGCCCTCTGAGACTTCCCACTAGGGCTATGGAAGCGTGGGCCTCCTACGCCTGAAGCCTGAGGTACCCACAGGGAGTAGAGCAACATTGGGGTGGGGAAGGGGTCAGGGAACCTTCTACCTCCAACCTGTTTCCCCATAAAAGTTCCCAAATTTTAGTTCACAGGTGCCTCCCTCCCCTGGCACTCCTTCCTTCTCCGCTGCCCCCCACACCGGCTGTGAGCAGCCGGTAGAAAGGACCTCCGGAGAGAGAACTGACAGACTTGAAAACTGGCAGCCCCATCCTGCATGGCAGTGCCCCGGGCAGGAAGTTAAGTCATCAGATCTGACTGCCAGATGGGTTTGAATACGGACCAGAGAGGCCCATGCCGCCCTGGCAGGAGGTGGAAGCGACAGGGTCATGCGGGGCCCTGGCGACCAAAGGTGACCCTGGGCCCTTTATGTGTTTTACAAAAGTTGCCAAATTAAGATGGGATTATAACTGCTGTAGTCCTTGTCAGGCCTGAAGGGCTGGGAGCCTCAACTATGCTCCGGCAGTGTTGATGAAAAGCTTGAAAAGTAATAAAAGGGAGAAAAGAGCAAGGAAAGTAACATGTATAACTCTTATTAAAGAGAAGAGCCACAGAGAGGTTGTGAACTTGAATCACTGTTTGAACTTTAATTTGTTCATTAACAGGATTTGCCCCTCACTGCGAATGTTATTACTTCCCTTTGCCGCTCAGCAACAACTCTGGGCATAATGAAAGAGTCTGGCAAAAAGTTAAACGCCTGGTAATTAGTTCATTTAATTGAAAAAAGTGGGAGAGAGAAAGAGAGTCCCACGACAAGAGCAGAAGGCAGAGCTGGGAGGAGGGGTGGGGCTAAAATAAAATCTGCGTGGAGGCCCCACCACCACCACCCCTGGGGGAGTGGGCACCTGGTCTCTGAAGATGCCGTTTCAGCAGAATTCATGCCAGCAGCTCCCTAAAGATCCTTTCCCCAATGCCACCCACCCCAGGTCTGAGCCCCCTGGCCAGAGTTTCAGCCAGGGACTATTTTGAGTGATCTGGGATGGTGGCCTGGATGCCAGAAATGCAGAACCCCTCTGTTTCATAAAACCTTTCAGTACAAGGGGAGGGGTGTCTTTCTGCTTTCTCACCTCCCTTCCCTGGATGCAGACTTCTGCTGCCAGGCTGCAGTGAACTGGGGACTGTCAGGAGCCAGACAGAATCTCCATGTTTGCATCTTAATCAGCCTAGAGCACTATGCTTTCTTTCCTCCCCCACTCCAGCACCCAGTTCAAATAAATGCGGGAGGTGAGCAGTGAAATACACTCCTTGACCCGCTCAGAGGTAATAGGACTAAGCCAGTTTGCTTTGCCTCTAACCTCAGAGAGCCTACCTTTTCCTTTGTTACTTATCTCTGGTCTGCTTGTCTACCTCTGTGCACAATCCCCTTCCATGTGTGTCCTCCCTCGGAGGGAAGCAAGCTATTAGCACGACATGGCCCTTGCAGCCAAATGAGAGCAGAGCAGAGTTCAAGAACTCAGTGGTAGAGCAGTTATCCTCTCCCAGTTAATGTTTACAGCCTACCGTAGTTAGGATTTCCTAATGTTGTTAAACTGGTGGTCAAATAATCTGCGTGATGTTCTTTAGTAATACAATTACCCACCAGGTACTCTCCCTCTACAAAACTACTGCAGACAGAAAAAGAGGTGAAGAGACAATGTGAGACAATATAAATGAATTCCCTAGGACCCCAAACCATTTCCTAGGTTTGTTTTAATTAAATGGCTTCTAAAGCCAGGGGAGGGAACAGAATTTTCTCATCCGAATCATATTGTCTGGAAACCTCCCAAATCACCATTCTGCTGGCTACTTCCTCCCCAATCACCACTATCCCTCTTGATTTTACAATCCTAACCTCACGCTTTGTGCCCCTATAAATGATCTTCCTGAAAACCAGCGGAAGACACACACTGAGTCTGCGCCAACAACAGAAAAGGGGAAGGGGGCTTTGTAAACAAGGCTATTTTATAAGTTGAAGCAGTACTAGGGCTTATTTAGCATCAAAGTCACTTCTCACCTTTTACAGTCCCTAGATACTAAGTGAGCTCAATTTGCCAAAGCTGTGGATCTATCCTAGTTTTATTCTAGACAACTGACACTAAATATTAGGACCTATAAACAAAACAAAAACTCCCCCTTACTTCACACAGCTGAGGCCTACAAGTGTAGAGACCAGGTCTGGTAACCCTGTCACTATCCTAATCCACACTCTGATCACCCTGCACATACGCCAGTGGGATTCTGCCTCCAGCTCAGCCATCAGCTGCCTTGGGATGAACTTTCCTACACTGCCACTCTACTCAAGGCCTGGATAGCTCGGATTGCTTCAAACAAGAACAGCTCCTTAAACTGACCTCCATCTTCCTCCCCTCTACAGCGGAGGTGCTGATCGGCCTTTCCTGGTTTGTTTCCACTACTTGCCTACACCAGGCCAGACAGCGCTCTCATCATCCCCTGAGAACAGCATGATTACCTCTGTTAGATTGAGGTTGGCAGCCACCATGTTAGGCGATACAAACATTATTTCATTTAATCCCTTCAATGTAATGAGATGTGCTTATACCCATTTTAAGGTGTAGGGACTGAGGCTTAAGAAATTAAAGTTCTGGGGCAGGTGTTGTGGTACAGTGGGTTACACTCTGCTTGAGAGGCCAGCATCCCGTATCAGAGCCAGCTCAAGTCCTGGCTCCTTTGCTTCCCATCCAGCTTCCTGCTGATGTGTCTAGGCAGGCAACAGATGATGGCCCAAGGTCTTGGGTCCCTG